TATATATATATATATATATATATATATATATATATATACAAAAAGCAAGCCTTGATTTTGCCATTTGATATGACCATTTTACTATCCATTATGAGCATCCATGGATTTTGGTATCCATGAAGGATCTTGGAACCAAACCCCAACAGATACCAAAAGACCACCGTACAATGACTACTTGGTTGTCAGCCTTTGGTTTCCCAGATGTTGTTGGACTTCAGTTCCCAGAAGCCCTAGCTCACATGGCCAACAGCCAGGGATTCTGGGAGCTGAGATCCAAAACATCTGGAGAATCAAGGCTTCGGAACGACCGTCTTAAGCTAGATCAGTGATCCCCAAATTTTGCTCTTCCAGGTGTTTTGGACTTCAGCTCCCAGACCAATGGTCCAGGATTCTGGGAGCTGAAGCCCAAAATATCTGGAGAACCAAAGTTTGGGAATTATTAGATTATTAGATGAATCATCAATGAAGCCATGGCTGGCCGTTCTTGGAGTGACACCATGAACATTGGATAGCATGATGACCACATTACACAGAGCAGAAAGCCATGGCAAAGCTTTAGAATAGTAGTTCTCAACCTTTAGTTTGCCAGACTTTGGGATTTTGTAGTGAGTCGGGCTTTGGCCAAGAGGCAGATGGGTTTTGGGATCCTTGTTAGCACCAGGGCCAGATGTTAACAGCTGTTACGGCCTGTGTTGTGATTAGAGTGTTGGACCACAACTTTGGAGACCAGGGTTCGATTCACTGCTCGGCCATGAAAACCCACTGGGTGACACTCTCTCAGCCCCAGAAAACTCCATGATAGGGTCCCTTTAGGTTCACCATAAGTTGGAAACAACTTGAAGAAACAACAATAACACGATGATGTTTTAATAATGTAATAGTTTAATTCCATTTTAATTGTCACTTTTGTATTAAATAATAATTGTAATGAATTCTCCAAAGGTTAAAAAAACATATGTTCCACTTTACACATAAATCAATCACAAACAAACAAACATACGAACAAACATAACTGTAGATTATACAGTATACTACTATACAATATCAATATATCAATACATAACTTCCTTATTGATTGTATTCACCATATTTAAATGACATCCTTGATTTTCTTGTCAATGAATTGATCCTTGAGATCTCTATACATATAACACTACAAACTTTACGAGTCTTTATTGATTGCTTTTCCTTTCTGTCCACTAAATTCCTGAAGTGTATGGAATTATCAGCTAGATATCTCAATTATTTGCAATAGTTAATTGTCGCTTTTGCAAGTTTTTAATTGTACTGTGGTTTTAGACTTTAAGCCACTTTGAGTCCCAATTTTTGGGGGAAAATGGGGTACAAATAAATAGAGGAAGAGGAACAACAACAACAAGGGTTTTTGGAATCCTTGGTCCAAAACACACTGCAGAAAGAATCCAGTTCAATTCCACTTTAACTCTGGCTCAGTGCTAGGGAATCCTGGGATTTGTAGTTTACTGTGGACTCACAGCTTTCTGACAGAGAAGGCTGAATGCCTCACAAAACTACAGTTCCCCCAAATAACCTAGCATTGAGCCAGGGCAGTTAAAGCGGTCTCAAACTGGATTATTTCTGCAGTGTGTTATGGATCCTTGTTAGCATCAGGGCCAGATGTTAACAGCTGTCCCTGGGCATTTAAGAGTCCATTTGTATTAATGGCTTGTTCAAGACTTTTTGCACTAACTTGGAAACATACAGGAAGGATTATTATTATTATTATTATTATTATTATTAAGTGTCCTGCTCTTTTCCCAGAACTGGGGCTTTTCCTCTGTTACTAATATGGTTGTGTTGTTCCCATCGTTAATGTGGGGCAGAAATGGGTCACACTTGTGAGCCTAAATCAATATAGACTTTAAAGGTATTTATTTTCTTCTTCGTGGCGATGTTTACAACTTTTTTGTGTGTGTGTGTTTAATGAATTTGTAATAGTTTCCACAATATAAATAAAAAAGTTTTTTATTATTTTAATTGTTGTATATTGTTTTCATCATTTTTAACCATGTCATTGTTTAATACTGTTTTAAGGGGGGGAGGGATATGTTGTTTATTGTAACTGTTTTTATGCTGTAAACCGCCCGGATTGGGCAACCATTGGGCGGTATATAAATACTTTTTATTATTATTATTATTATTATTATTAAAAACCTACAACAATCATCAGACATACAACAAGCATATCCACTATCAAACTTTACAACTATCAATTAATCTACTATATCCATAATATCTAATATATTTTTCTTTTCCCCCCTTTATTGTATTGTATGTTTTATTGTGAACTGTATGTTTTAATTGTAAGCCACCCAGATTATATATATAATTATATATCCAATGGGTGGGATATAAATAAATTTTATTATTATTATTATTTATCTTTAGTATCTTCTCAGTTCTCCCATTCTTATCCCTTCCTTCCTTTACATCTCTTCCTATAATTTCTTGTTTCCTCTTTATTCTTTCCTATTTCTTTCCCCCTT